GGAGTGATTTTCTAGTGGAATTAGTTGCGAGGGAATTGTCTCGTGTTGTTGACGAAAGAATCAAGCGAAAATCATTTCTTTGCCATTAGACCTAAGGCGAAACACTGTTCCACTCTACCTCTTCAAACATTTAAACATTTAAACCTCTTCAAACGTTTATCTCGCTAACACAGGATCGATATTATCATAGAATTAATTGTAAGAGATGCTTGCCTCGCGTCCTTTTCCAAGAATCAAAGGAAAATCCCTGCTTTGCACGTTTAAAGCAGGAGGCGCCACCCAGGAGTCCTCTACACCTATGGCGAAACACTGTTCCTCTTCCACATCTTCGTCTAGAAACATTGTGAATTACTGACGGATTGTTCGTTGGTGTTAGCTTCCATACAGTTGGTTTCACCAACTACTGAAATCAACCAGTAAACGTCATCTCATGCACATACTTCACCTGGGGTCTTATTGTTCCTTCGCACAACAACTTCCTGTTTATCTTGAGCATCGATCGACTCACGCTCGCGTAAATCCCGAGAAAACACTCACCTTCTTGAAAGGCAAAATAAAATGCATAAGGGATTAATTCCCAGGGCACGAGGGGAGCCGAAGGGACGACGGGGGTTCCCAGAGCTGCAAGACGAGCTTGTTGCGTACAGCGGGGTCGCATGGGAGGGTGTGGAGTTATTTAAAGCCGTTTTCCTTCGATAAAACGACGCGTTGCAGAGCAACCGCTCCACTTTGTGGCCTGTTTCCCAAGGAAGGGATGCACTGTTCTCCGGTGCATGAGAAGTAGCCCTTGTCGACGCAAAGCAATAGAAAGGACTATGTGAATTATTATAACTTCAGAATGATACATGAAATTAGTGTTGTGGTCAAAGAAAACACAAAACCTTCCAAAGACTCGGTTCCATTCCATGCGCGTGACCGACACCGATACACCGACACCGAAGCAAGTATAAGTTTAAAATTGAAAGAGCCAAGGCTGAAACAGCTGTCCATTGTCGCTGGTAATCCCGCGGGCAGCTATCCAATAAGAAACAACGTAGAAAGCCGAGGTAGCACCTGAATTAAAATCGCAGGTCCCAGTCGTGCATACGTGCATACGCGGCTTACGGCGTGTCTCGAGAGCCACACATCCAGGAGACCGTGTTCTCCGTCTGAAGGGGGCTTTAGTCGTATCGCGTGCCTTCGTCTCCCCGACACGTTTGCGGGTCTGCCCGGCCGTACCGCGGGGGCTTCCCCTTTATTGGATGAGCCCGTACGACCGCTGCTAATTATGAAATCCCCTTAAAGCCGCCACCTAGGCGAACCGCGCGCGCCGCCTGGACGAAAATAACAACGGGCCGGCTAAATTCTAATTAACTGCGATTTAGCGTTCCTCGTTCCAATTTTCTCGCGCGGCCACGCGCTGGCCCCGTTCGATTTTTCCGTCCGGCGACGCCGGGAACGGTTATTCCAGGACGCGTAGCGGGATAACGAGCGTCGGGGAGGAACAATTAAACAGTCCGGTGATCTGTAAGGGAACCGCTTCGATTCTTGGTTACCTTGGGCGACTTCTTCTGGAGGTCTTTTTTGTCGAGTACGAACGGGGTAGGCAGACTTTTCGGAGTAAGGAAGCAAGGTTGGAGAGCGAGAGGATCGATATTTTTGGAGAAGCTTCTCAGCTTTTCAGTTTTTTTTTTTTTTTTTTTTTTTTTATTTTTTTGTGGATGAAGAAGCAGGAAGATCGAAGATCGAGAGGATCGGTAGGTTGTCGAGGATAGGCTCCGTTGGACGATCTCATAGAGACTGAAGGCTTGCGAAAGTGTTCTTGGAGGAGGTTCTCAGTGTAGGGATCTAATAACTTTTAAACGTAACAGTTCGATAACGATTTATTTAACGTCTGATTCTTACAATTGTCTTGACTGAACTGAACTTCGAATTATCAGTAAACAAACCACACCGCGTTCCCACGCAACCATCGCATACATGAATAGACTCTGACACTTACCATGTTATGTATCACACTCTTACATCAGGGAATAAGTTCGTTGCGGATAAAAAGGCAGGACGACCTGACCGCGTCTGCAGGCTTTTAAAATCGTTCTTGGAGAAGGTTCCTCCTAAAATTAAGCATCAGGAGTGTGGCCACTTGAGATACATTTTATGAACACAAACGAACGTTTACAGTTGATGTACTGTAACCTCACCCCCAACTCCAATGTTCCACTCCTCCCAGGATCCAAGATATTGGCATTGGATTCTGCCATCGTTCCATTCTATAGATAACAGTCTATTCTATTTTTATCGCGAATCCAGGACGGTAAAGTGATTGAAGATTATTCGAGCGTTGAAACGAGTCCCTCCCCAGGTCGTTCGGAAACGGAGCTAACCAGCCACTCGATTCTTTGTAATACTGTTTTCATAATGTTGAACCGACGGCGGTGCACGTAGCTTAATGACCATCCGGCAAATTGGCCCCCATTGAACGTCTCCCGTTCCCTGCAACAAAGGAATCAAAGATGAGGCGTGGGATCCCGCGTTTATTATCCTGTTTTTTCGAGGGTATCCCTGTACCGCGCAGTTAAAGGATCCTTTCTTTCCTCCCCGTTTACCGTCCGGGAGAATAATCGAATCCACGGTTCAATTATCGGAATAGTTACGCGAACGTTGCATCGTTATGCATGCATAACTTTGGGGAAACGAAGCTCGACGGTTCTTGATTCTCTTCTCGCTTTTTGTTCTTGCGACGACGGTGGATGTCTCTCATCTTGACGGAAGTATCGTCGCAGTCCTCGACTAAGAGGAAGCCCAATTAGATAGCTCGATAGTTTTCAAGAACCGATTTCTTCCCAGCATTATTTTATCGCAGGTCTGAGCTCGCGTAGATTGTCAAGAGCGACGCGACATTCACGATCGATCGAATATTGCTCGACGAAGCTCTCTCAAATAAAAAACGATTCCAAGCGCGATTGTATTCGGATAATGTTTGCGCGCACGTGACTATTTCGAAAAAAAAAATGGTATCGGAAACGGTAAAATTAATTATTCTGCGAATGGGGTCGTGTCCGGGCTCATTTTCACCGGTTCGACGTTCTCGATGAATCGATACCGCTCCGGTCGAGAAATAATGAAAAATATAAAAATATTCATTTCCCGTTATTCTCCTGTTTGAAGAGAAAATACGATAAGGATTCGTGTCCCGTATGGCGGGGAAGAATTGATGGGCTACAAGAGGGGATTACCGCGGTGGCTTTTTTTCCCTGTGGTCGCGTTTCATCGTTGAGAAATCAGCTTTCAGTGGATTTTATCGCGTCACCGCAATATGGAGACGAAATCGATGAAAAACTGACGACTCGAAAATATTGTCGTTGGAGGAACGCAGCCGCCGGTGCAGATTTTACGGGCTCGTCCGTAAATATTGAAATTCACGACGAACCGCGAAACGATTCGCTGGATCGTTATATTCGCGAACGTGTCCGTTCGCGGTGAGTTTTCACGGATTTGCATAACAGCATCCGTCGCGTTGTTGATCGTGTCGCGTAATCGGTATTCGCCAGAATTACCTGTTTCCCTTTCGTTTTTACAACCGATGATCGATTGTTGCGAGATTGACCGAACGTTACGTCCGAATTACAGATTTCCGAAGAGGTATAGCAACCGTACATTTCCTCGAGAGTGAACAAATTTTACTCCACGTCTTTCCCTCGACTTTCGAACACGGAACACGCTCTTGCAGCATCGCGTGGGTCACGTCGCATTTTGTAAAGAAAACAAGGCGAGAGAAGCGCAAACAAAGGCGTCTCGTGTCTCTGCGCGCACGTAAATTCCGCGATACAGTTACGGCAACTACGGCGGCGTTTAAGAAAGACCGTGGCATCCAAAGGGTTCATAAAACGCACTTACCCTTTGCTCTCCGACGACGCCGTAAAATAATATTAAACTAGCGCGAGCGCGAACCAGGACTTCTCTCTTTTATCGTTCGCGTTCATCGTAAAAAAAATCCCCTAACGCTCGAAGTAAACCTTTCTGGAAATGTTTAAATTCTTCCTTTCGTACATTCGGGTACAATTTTTTTCGCGCATCCGGTGTACTGATCTCCCGTTGGTCGAAAATGGTGTCCGGTCGACGAGGAAACTTTCGAAAATTACATCTCGCCGCGAAACGAGTCGCGCGTGACGGATTTCGCGCTGGCGTGCGATCGTCGAGGTCTTCGTTTTTCTTTTTATACCCAGAAGAAGCGCGAACGCGGTGGATGATGGGGAGGGGGCGGGGTGGGGGTGGAAGTGGAAGGTCGAGAGGGAAGGTAATTCTCGTGCGGACGGCGGAACGTGAAGGGCTCTCGAGACAAAGTCGATCGAGGAAGCGCGGCACAATGGGTAAGACGAGCGAGGTTCGGGATCTGGAAAAGTTTGCCCCAACTCCTCGTCCCCCATGCTGCGCGGGGATGGCTCCGTCCGCCGCGGAAGCGGCCAATCGATCTTCCTTTCCTTTCGCTTCGATCCACGATCTCGTCGCGCGGCGGTCGACGTCCAGCGGGGGCTGTTCGTCGCGAAAACTCGTGATGTTTTGGGGACAAAGTGCGATACAATCTCGACTCCAATTTCCACGTTGGCTTCACCGCCGCCGTGACGCGTCTGGAACGATCGCATAATTGCCCGCGAAATTTTATGGGTTACCGGGCCGCTCGCTGGGGAACATTTGGCGCCCCGTTCGAGGAGGGGTGGTTTTCTTTGGCCGTTTAGAGATTTATTCGAGACACGGAATTTTGATCGAAGTAACAACATCGTCATCGGATCGTCCTCCCGATGAAAATGAGTCCAAACACGACCACGTTCGGACTATTTTTGATGTCGCGTTATTCCACCCATTGCTGCCAACCTTCGACAGCGTATAATTAAAATGAATCCGAATGTGGTCGTGTTTGGACTCGTTTTCACCAGAAAAGCACCACCAATTCGTCGGTAATGTTTCAGTTTAAGCTTTTCCTAGAACTATATTTTAATACTCCGCTTTTTTTTCTGTTGCAGGTAAGAGACTCTTATAATTGATAATTTACCTGAAAGCTGCAAAGGACATCCTTCGAACGAGTAAGTAAATTCGACAATACCTACTATCCAGGATATGCAAACGAATGTACCGCAGTGTCGACAGTAATTAGGTTAATAAATGTTAGGTTCAAAAGGGTTCTCGCAAGTGGCAGTACATTTTTCGAATTAACGAAGTGACGTAGGTTGGCTATCTTTAGAGGGATCTCTGCCTTTATTTACGAACTTGCGAGTTCGTTATCCCCTGGCTCGCTATGGTCTGTTTGGAGGAAAAATATTCGAATCCGACAGATCGACTCGTAACCAGCTCCGCGGAAACGGAACGCAAATTTTTGCTCAAGCTTTCCAAGGAAGGGCCCTTCGTTCAATTTACGCCGGGGTTAATAGAGACCGCGGCGGGACGTGCTCGCGTAAAAATTAATCTCGTCGACCATGATGTAATTTCACATAATCCGACGGAGCCTGATATAACACAGCCGAGGAGCGAGGCTCGTTTAACCCGTGGATCCTCAACTGGGAACCGTACGATCCTGTTCACTCCTCGAATAGATTACGCTGTATCTCTAAAATACTAATTTTTATATGTGATACGTGGTAGTACTATCGATGGATAAACCATGATTTTCCTGCTAAAATGAGCCCAAACACGACCACATTCGGACTATTTTCAATTCCAACCACTGTTGCCAACCATCAATCACGCATAAGTAAAAGTAGTTCGAATGTGATCGTGTTTGGACTCGTTTTAATCGGCAAAACGCTGTCGAGCCATCGATAATACCTTCGTAATTTTACCTCCTTGATGGATTAACGTCGAGATTCATGCAATTTTCCGGACAACGAATCCAATAAGTAGAAACCACGCTTACACAATGTATCCCCCCATCCTGTAGCTCATGCTTGACCTCGCATGCAATCCGCGGTCTCTATGGACGTCCACTTCCAATTTCACTTGTTGCTAAGCAACCACCCATTCCATTTGTCAACACAATGCAACGAACAGGGCTCACACGCAAGTACCGAGTTTCTGCATCACTCATTGTAGAATTTCGATATACCCAAACTGGGGGCTACAAACCAATGCAAGAGCGATCCACCAGGGAACAAATCCACTCTCAGAAAAAGAAGAGTACCGCAAACGAAAGAAATCGAGAAAGACATCAGACCTAGATAGGATCGGTAAATTCTAAAGAGGTCGCGAGAATAATTACTACTATAGATATTAGATTATGTCGTTTCTAATTGTATATTTCACGGTAGAATCCCTTTTTTTTTTCTACACATATTTCATAAAAGAAAAAAGGATTACGCTCGATATCGAAACGTTAATCGATATCCCCGAAACTCGATCGCCGTTCCCGTTGATGGGCGATCGTGTAAATTTGGAAACGAAATCGCCGGTTAAAACGGAGCACAATATGGATGGTAATTTCGCGGGTACGAACCGTGAGAATTTAATTCGACGATTGGGTGTCAGGCTGGGCTGATGTACCGCGTTAAAATTCTGCTCGTTTAACATTTCTGCGTCGGTCATCGGGGACACCGACGATTTTCGTTCATTATACGAATACCGCGTGCGCGTCCACGCCGTGGATTTCGCTGATTGCTAATCGCGCTGACAAGTTAATTCGCTGGTTGTTAACGATCCGCGAACTCTCGGTTTCGAAACTCGCGGCTTCGAACACTGGATTCCTGGGAAATGATCCGCGACGATTCGACCGTGCACCGTAACACCGCGATCCCGAGACTAGATATATTTATTCGAGGGCTCTTTGTCCCAAAAGTGTCCATCAATCTGTTTAAAGAGACGTTTACTCGTCGTGGCGTACTATGTTGTAGTTCTGGTCCATGAATTTTATATCGCTGCTCGACGAAGGAATTGTTTTATGTTTATTCGTGTGTCTAGGAGACAATTAATAGCCCGAGTGGGCGGCCGATGCTATGTAGATGTCGCAAGAAAACGTGGTATGCTCTGCTGCGTGAATTTTAGTTTAGATATGATTTCATAGGTTTCCTTTCTTAGGTAAAGTTTCTTCGTGAAAGTTTCCTGGATTGATTAGCGAGGTTCTACTGATAAAAATTAGTCCGTACACGGTATAATCAGGTGTTAAAGAAAACAATTCCGGGTAGGTTTCGGGAATTTTTAGGGATCGGAAAACTCGGTACCAACTTTCTGTTACAATTGTACAAGAAGAAAATTTTAGTTTCACAAGCATTTGCGTGAGTACGTCTGGCAGCGAAGGTGGGGCCACTGAAATTGGTAGTTGTTCGGTTCGTAAAGAATTCCTAGGAGAATCGAAGGGAGCGAAACGGTAGTAATGCAAGCGCGCCGAACGAACGGAACACCGACGGGGGTCGCGTTTATATATCTATTTGCGGGGCGCCAGGGTCCAAGTTTGAACGGGGGTGGCGCGAGGATTTATCACGCGGTCGAATTAACCGCTAAATGAAAATTCATGGATATGGCGGCGAGGCGTTTTCTAAAGAAACGGGTCAGCCGCGGCTTTCACGATTTTCCGGCGAGCTACGTTGTACAGCGGTGCACGCCAATCTGATTTAGTTGCGACTTTAACGAACAGTGGAGCGATTCTGGCTGCCTCCGCCCCGGTAAATTCCCATAAAAGCGGCGTTTCGTTGACGGAAGGCTATTTTGGTGAAAGCTTTTCGCGGCGATTTGTCGAAAGGTCCGGGGAAGAGTACCGAACCAGCCTCGCCTTTATTCTGTTAAGTATATCGGCCGAATTGTCGGTGATTTTATTACTCCGGAATCTAGGTTTCCCTGGCGAGTACTTTCGACGGATTTGCTGTCATTTCCCCTCGTTTCAAAAGCCTCTTGTTGCGGCATTCTTATTTTCTCCATATAAACCCGTTTTTTTTTTTAAGAGAATTCAATCTCACGCAAAAGAGTCGAATAAAGGTCTCCTCTTGCCTCGGGGACTGTAGCTACAGTACGGGCTTAGCGACCCCGAGGTATGCGAGCTATAAATGGGCCAGAGGGCCCCGAGCCTAATGGGGACATAGTCAAGAAAACTCACTCAAAAGTTTCCTCTGACTTGCCTAACAAAAAAAAAAAAATATATATATATATATTTGACCGAAACTTTAAATTTTTCAATTCTTACGTGCTCTACATTTCCTTCGATTTCAATTAATATTCCGACCAGCAGACGTTGATGCTTCTAACAATAAGTCCAGAGCATTGTGACGTACCCTATTAATTTTTCTTGCGCGTGTTTTAATGGAGAGGTGACATTTAGAGCGGAAATTCAGGAGACTCAAGGATATCGTTTTCTTGTGACGGATTTTTCCCCGCGAATAATTAATAGAAATACACGGCCGACTTGCAGACGAGTCGTTCCACTTAGGCGATCTCGCGTCCTCCCGTGATACCGTTGAAAACGAGACTCGCTCATACAGCGGAAAGGGGTGGGGGAGATGGGGGTACATTGGTAGCTAGCAAAGTTGCTAACGACTCGTTCGATAACGAGGTTTACTAAGCGCTTTAATTAACGCCGTTAGCGTCGTGCCGTGTCACCGACTCTGGGAGCTTTAACTGCGTCCCAGAGGATCGATTACTGCGCGAAAAGCGAGCGAAATTCATAATTAGCAGGCAATCGATACGGTGAAAGGCGACAGTCGAATTCTACGTTGGTCTCGATTAGCGAGACTCGGACAAAGATCACGGTGAACCCCGCTTAGAAGCAGTCGCGTCAACGACACTGCGACTGTTTATTTGGATTACATCGGAGAACGAAACTTTGTTCTTGCGTCGCCTTGGATCTTCACAAGTGTGTTATCGATGAATTGACGAGGTCTCACCGAAGAAAATGAGTCCAAACACGGCCACATTCGGACAACTTTTAATTTTACATCATCGGAAGGTTGGCAACACTGTTAAAATTCAAAGTGGTCCGAATGCGGTCGTGTTTGGGCTCATTTTCATCGTCGGAGACTCGGCAATTCGATAGGGATATCCCGATGGAAATATAACAAAAAACACCTTTCCTAAAACAAGATCGATTAGAGTATCATTTTTAAATTTCAAGTACATCGAAGTACTTGAAGAATTCCGCCGCGTTTAAATGCCCAAAATACCCGCGATCGGAGCAAGAAATACCCGAGGACCCAATTATTTGAATGGTATATCGAATGCATGGCATTTTAATTAAATTTGTCGAATATCGGTGTACAAAACAAAAATTGGACAAGTAGTCTCCGAGCGTGCTTGTGACCGTAATGAAATGCACTCTTCTGCTCGAGCGGCTTACAGGGTCGATTTCAATGCGAGGACATCCAGCGGCGGGAATTCGTAAAGTTTGAAGATCGTGGCTGCACGCTAAGTCGATATCGGAAATGGAACTGAAAGCGACGTTTATATCGGGCCTCGACGTACGGCTTCGCGGGCGGCGATTAAAAAGGAACGTTTATTGGATCACCATAGTAGTCGTGATTTTAAACAAGTTTCGTATCAGTGTGGATGGGTTCAGAGAATCAAATTGTGGCGTCGCTAGTTCGCGTGCTTGCCATTCACCGACAGATACAACGCTCGGTGTATACTATTAAAAATATTATCACTGTGAAATTTATTTCATAACGAATCAAACTTGAGATAAACCTTCTGTCCACCTTTTAGAATGATTAATGAATATATCGTCGACAGAAAATAAAAATATCGACGATTGAATCAGTGTCGAGGTTGGTTAAGGTTTCTTTGGACCGATGTAATCGCTAGATCGAAAGAACGAAATGGATCGAGAAATCAGAATCGGAACTCTCCGCTCGTCGACGTGATCGTTTCGATAGGGTTTTCGTAATCTGCAAATCGTGGTGTCCGCGAACGAAATCCCAATTATCCACGGTCAACGGTCGCTGTATAGCGTGCACAAACAAATCTCGTGGAACTCGCGTTTCGAAGAACCAACGTTTCAGGAATCACGACTTATTTGCACGGCTCTGATTCGAATATTCCGCTCGCACGGCGTCCTCCATTTTCATCGGTCTCCGATAAAGGTAGTTCGTTTTTACAAAATAATCACGAGTCG